TCTCAAGGTTTAGCCACAATTTGTTATGATCCATACAATCAAATGCCTTTGTACAGTCAGTGAAATATAGATAGACATTTCCTCTGGTACTCTTTGCTTTTGGCCAATATCCCTCTGACATTTATGATAATGTCTCTAATGCCACGACCTCTTTTAAATTCAGCTTGTATTTCTGGTAATTCTCTGTCAGTGTACTTTTCCAGTCATTTCTGGGTAATCTTCAGGATTTTACCAACGTGTGATATTAATGATACTGTTGGATAATTTCCACACTCTGTCAGATCACCTGCATTGCACTGCACTCCCTTGCATATGTTGTTGTTGTTAGGTGCCATCGAGTTGAGCATGACTCATAGCGACCCTATGAACAAAGGATCTGAATCCTGTCCTATCCTGCACACCCTCACACTTCCTGACACACAAAAGCCCATTGCAGCAGTCACCATATCAATCCACCTGGTTGAGGGTCTTCCTCTCCTTCGCTGACCCTCCACCCTTCCCAGCATCATGTCCTTTTCCAAGGAATAGCACCTCCTGTCAATGTGGCCAAAGGATGTAAGGTGAAACCTCATCATTCTTGCCTCCAAAGAGCACTCCAGCTGCACCCTCTCTAAGACGTATTTATTTGTTCTCTTGGCCATCCATGGGATGTTCACTGCCCTTCTCCAACACCACACAGCTCAAAGATGTCAATTCTTTTTCTCTAATCTTTTCTTTATTGACTTGGTTTCAAATGCATAGCTAGTATCTGGAAAGACTATGAATCAGATGCACCTCAGTCCACAAACTGACATATTCCTCCTCAATAATTTGGAAAGGTCCCTAACTGCAGATTTTCCCAGTGCAGTGTGTCACCTTATTTCCTAACTGCTCATACCAAGGATGTTACTTGTGGATCTCAGCAAGATGAAGCTATTGACAGTTTCAATCTCCTTTCCATCCATCATGACACTGCCTCTTGGTCCAGTGGTTAAAAATCTTTGTTTTCTTGATACTGAGATGGAATCCATACTGAACGTTGCATTCCTTAAAACAAGTGCTTCAAGTCCTCCTCACTTTCAGCAAGTAAGGTTATGTCATTTGCATAATGCAGGTTATTGATGAGTCTCCCTTCAATCCTGATGCAGATGGGGATGAAAATAGCCACTGTGAGAAACCATATGACAGTTCTTCAGAAAGTTAAAACTTAAAATTACATGATTCATCATTTCCACTCCTTAGTTATATCCGAAAAAATTTAGAACAGGGTCTCACAGATAAATGTATGCCAGTGTTCATAGCATTATTAACACTGGCCAAAATGTGAAAACAAACCGAGTATCTGTCAACAAATGAATAGATAACTGGAATGTGGGCAGTACCTGAAATGGGATAGTGAACCTGAATCTGACATAAGCCAGATTCAAAAGGGCAAATGTATATTTTATTTACATGAGTTCTAGAACATGCAGATTTATAAAGTCAGAATTATGATTATGTTCATTCATTTATGATTAGATTATGTTCATAAAAGATTAAAAAAATTAATGTGATGAATATTTTACCACAATGAAAAAATATTATACATAAAAAAACTATTAGATTATAAAAATAAAACATAAAAAAAAATTATAGCAGCAACCACCGAGATAAACTAATGGAGTCAAAAAGAAATTTGAGAAACAGAAAAATAGACTTCTCCTCTAGTGGGCGTTACCTGCTGCAGTAATCTGGAAAGCCAGGTAAATGTCAGTTACCATGTTTTGGTTTTTTTTAAATTATTATTATTATTTTTTTTATTATTATTATTATTAACCTTTATTAACAGGTGCTTGCAGGTTTTTTTTACTTTTTTTAGAAAAAAATCAAGTTGTAAACTTGGATTACAAATTAAAAGTGAGGTTCTTAAAAATCATAACTTGACCAGATATGAAACAATTTTTTAATACATTTTGGGTTTTTTATTATTATTATTAATTTAAAAGAAAGATATGAAACAATTTAAAAACCTTTAAAGGTATATTGAGAAAAACCAGGCTTTTTAAAAAACATGTTTTTCATTACCAAAAAGAGATGTCTTTAGGTAAAAATAATAAAAACCTCATGCTGCATAGATAATGCAGATAGTTCTAGTTATCTGGTCAATGGGCAAAGAACAAGCACTTAAAGTCCTCAGCTCCAATCTTTTGTTCCTTTCTTACTGCTGGAATTTCATATCCATTTCTTCTTGTTGGATGACTAAACCGGATGATGGTAGAGATGGTAAGCCGGCATTGACTCAGCCCTGCCCTGCTCAGCCTCGGGAGCGGACAAATTCTCAGCTGGTGGATCGGCTGCTTTTGTCTCTTTGCCATCTTGTGGTTTAGGGTTTTCTGGGCATCTGCATCAGTAATTGAATTGGCGACAGTACCGACGTGGAGGTGGCTGCTGACCTTGGGTCTCATCTTGATTTTCCTTATCGTCATTGCCATCCTCTCTAGGCTGTCTTTGGTGAGGAGGTCCCCTGCGAAATCGTGGTCTAAAACCCATACATATTCTGTCTCCCTGATCAACCTCGTTCTCTTGCACCCTGGTTGTCAGCACCTTCCATCACTTTTCCCTGCACAGAAGGGTTGGAATACTGTGGTCATGCCCGTAGGGTCCGCGCATGTAGTTAAGGTGGGGACCATTGTCTGCGTTGTTGGGCCTGGCCTTCAGGAGCACTCTCTGATCCCTTGTTGTTCTCCCCACTCTCACTATTCTGATAATTCTGCTGGTAATTACCTGGAGGACCCCTATGACATGGATAACGTCTATAATGGTTATGGTCTATTGCATATTTACTGCTTCGCTCTGGAACACCACCAGAACGTGTAACATTTGCTGCCTCCGCACCCTTTTCTCATTCAACAGCATCAAACTCGACAGTCTCTCCACAGCAAAGGTAGTTCCTGGGCTTATTCTTCTTTATGGCAGTTTGGTGTACAAATACATCTTCCTTGGTGTCATTCCTATTGATGAAACCATATCCATTTCTTACATTGAACCATTTTATTGTTCCCAAAATCTTCGTTGTGATAACATTCTTGTCCCTGCCCGCAGGTGCCACCCATGTGAGGCCGCCCAGGCCCCTGTGGTGCAGGGCTTGGTGTTGGCAGCGCTGAGGGTAAGGGCTGCTTGGTCTCTGCCTTGATGCTCATGGTTGCAGTGATGGTGACTGGGGACAGCTGTGGCAGCTGCAGCTCCTCCCAGGATGTGATGGTAACTAGTCGGGCAGCAGTAGTGGGTCTGCTCGGGGCTCTCAGGGGCTCTCCAATTACCACATTTCTAAAGACTCTTGAAAACTGTAGAATCCAGAAGGCTAAGTAGTGAAGTAAAAAAATGAAGAACCCATGAGGCAAATTTTTAATAGTAGACTAAACATACCAGAAGACAGGATTAATGAACGTGAAGATAGATTAATAGAAAATATCTAAATACAAGCATAGAGGAAAGAGAAATGGATTTTAACAACAGAGCCTAAAATCAGTCAAAAAGAGACAAGTAATATTTACGAAATGATGGCTGAAAAGTTTTCAAAACTGATGAAAATTATCAATCCATAGATTGAAAAGGAAACCAGAGAGAAAACAAATTCTTAGGAGAAAGCACTGGAAACAATACAATTCCCTAAAAAGGGCAACAAGACTAACCTGCAGACTTCCCATAGAACCTGTGAGGGCCAAGTGAAGTGACATCTTGCAAGTGCTAGAAAGACGAAAGGACTGCTGTATGGAGTTCTGTACCCCGCAAACCTTCAAGAAGAACGTCTGAAGCGGTCCATGGTTCTTGAAAGCATCAGCGTTTGTATCCAAGTTGTGATGTAGTTTCCACGATGCTGCCAGACTACATTGTTGTTAGGTGCCATCAGGTCAGCTACACTCATTACAGCTGCATATCTGTAATTATATCAGAGTTTAATTTTTAAAAATGAAGATATTTTCAGACAAAAAATAATAAGGTAAATTTCAGAATATGAAATTGAATAGTCTAGAGAGGGTTTGAGTTGGGGAGTGGTATCTGGTTGAGATGCTTTGTGCAACCCAAGTCACTGTTGACAGGCAACACAGTCTAAGAGAAGCAAAGAGCATTGCACCCCAAGGCCAGGAAGGAGAAAATGCCCTGCTGCTCATGGGCCCAAGGCGGCCAGCCAGCTTAGGGCCACATCCAGCCTTCCTGGATTCAAGCCTCAGCCCCACCACTTACTAGACAGGCATAATGATTGGGGGAAACCTTTTGTCACAGTTCCACAGCCTCTAAAATGTGTCAGAGAATTTCCACAGCCTGTCCTTAGACTTACATATCTACATTTTGGCCGGTTCATGTACACGAGCGTGGCGTCTCAATTTCTTTAATATCTTCATGGTTGCTTTGAGCATATCTTCTCTGAACCATTTGAGGTGAGGTTCCAAAGATCATGACTCCTCACCCCTCCTATTTGCACATGTATCTTTGACATAAAGGGATCCTATACAGTCCCCATCGCTGCATCCTGTTGTGTGGGATTGGCTGTTGACTGCTGTCCAGCTGGAGGCCTGGCATGTTTGGAGGACACCAGTACACAGTGATATCTGAGACACACAGGTGGATAGGGCGTGGGGCAAGGTCTGTGGGTCTGCAGCTGGGAGGACTGGCAGTACCCAGCAGAACCTCCTTCCCAACACTGACCTCCCCTGCAGCACCTGGGGGGAGCCAGCCTACCTTCTCTCAATATCCCATGACCATTGCCCTCCCCACTCAGCTAATTTTAGGGGCTTTGGAACTGACAGGCTGGAACCACCTTAAGCAGTGTGTCCCAGGGAGTGCGGCCTTTGCCCTTTGGCTCTCTGGCAGTTTCACCCTTGCCAGCAGGGGTGGTGCTCCCTGGTGCAGTACACATGTGCAGGCACACACTCCTCCCACACCCCAGCTCTGCAGGGAAAACTGCTGGTGCAGACTCCTGGCCCTAGCGCGCCTGAGTGGGCCCTACCTCCCTGGTCCTCACCACTGTCTTTGCTCCCCAGTGACACAGCACATAAAAGAACTCCTGGAGAGAAACTCTAAGAAGAAGTCCAAATTGAGAAAGAAACCCAAGCCTTATGTTGAAGAGCCGGATGGTAGGGGCCTCTCCACGGCCGGGCAGCGGCTGCGTCTGTCTCGCTCTGCTCTGTCCATTCGGCCATCCTGGCCTCAACTCTAACCACTTCTGGGCTCAGGGGTGGGACACTAACCCTTGGAGATCTAGGTGGCCAACCCCAGATCCTGGCCCAACAGATGGCACCAGCCTTGAGCCTTCCCTTCTCCAGCCATTTCCACCTTGCATGCATGGGGCAGGGCAGGGCACAGTCAGCCTTGTCTCCGAAAGCAGTCCCCTGGTGAGTAAGTGGGATGGTCCTGGTTTGCTGTGAAGCCTCCACAGCAAGACTTCCAAGCTGGGACATCCGAGCATTCCAGAATCAGCAGGAGTAACACCTCTCTGACTTGAATCCCCTGCCTCCTCCCAGCACCCACAGTCCAATGCCAGAAACTTCTGGGGTCTGGGGTCACCACACCTGGTCCAGAGGGCCTGCTTAGTCCAGGGTAGTTCTGAAAGCCCATGACTGTCCCTACCTGCCAGGAGCTGTTTCACCTGGTCCTGGTTCCAGGGCTTCTGGGACTCCCTGTGCTCTCAGCTGTCATCTCTCAGATCTCAGCCCATACTCCCCTTGGTCCAGGAAGCCATCTCTGACTGCATACCCCCATAGTACCCAAAGTTAAGACTAAGGTGTTTCTCCAGAAAAGACCCAACTCCTTGGCCAGCAGAAGGTGAAGGGACATGAAGGGCTTGTGGCCTGGCCTGTGAGCAGCACAGCATGCAAAGGCCAGGCTGTGTTTGGCTCATGGCCCTGTAGTGATGGCCTCTGCATGTGGGCAGCTCCAAGTCAGAGGCATAGCTGGATTCACCGTGAAAACACAGCCTCCATGGTTTCTGAGTCCTCCAGAGAGCCTGCGCTGTGCCCACCCAACAAGGGAGGCAAGGCCTGGGACCAGAGGAAGGATAAGTCCTTGTGACAAATTGACAGTGAAGACTCAGGACCTCAGGCCTGGGCTGTACACACATGGCAAGCTGCAGCTTTACTGTCACAGACAAACTCCAGGGCCTCTCTCCTTACTCTGCGTTCTGGGGATTTGGTGTGCGGTCTTCCTGTTGCTGCTCTTTCCACAACTGTCCAGGTGGGGTCTCATTCTAGTCTTTGCCTTTCAAGCATCCTGCAGGGAGGGCTAAACTCTTCTGAGACTGCCCAACTTGTCCCATGGGATCCCCAGCACCTGGGCTCTGCTGCTGACATGAAGCTCAGTCAGGAGGTGGACCTCAGTTCTGAGTTTGCCCCATGGAGCATTTTGTGATCTTGGGGCTGGGACCTTGCCAGGGTTGGAGTATAGCACGCCCCTCCCTGATGCAGAGATGTAGTGGGTACCCTTCTTATTCCTTGGGAGCCCTCAGGAGGTGGGCAGGGGTGCCTGCAGGAGTGTCCTCTCCCACTGCTGGGCCGGTGTTCTGCGATCATAGGTGCTGATTGGCATGTGTCACCAGTGGCCCTGCCCACAGCAGACCTGAGGCAAAAAGCTCTGAGCCTGAGCCCCGTTCCTGCCAAAGCCTGAGAAGCAAGCCAGCCCTAGGTTCCCCAGGAGCTGCTCTAGGACCCCCTTCTGCCTCTTCTCTCTGGTCCATGTACATCCAAGCTGACAGTGCCCACTCTCTTGCAGGAGTGGCGATAAGCACCTATGCCAAGTACTGCTACCACAAGCTGCAGAAGGCAGCCCTGACCGGGGCCAAGAAGGTACCAGCACTTACATGCTCAGTCCTGATGGGATGGAGCAAAGGCCTGGGTTTGAGGTCCATAGAGGGCAGCAGGAGGCCATGCAGTCTGGGTCCAGGGAATACCCCCACTACCAGGCCACAGGAGTAAAGTGGGGCAGAGGGCTGTGTGCAGCCTTGGGGTCCATCTGGGCCAGAAGAGGATCCTGGACCCAGTCATAGCCCCACCCTGGATTACAGCAACATACGGTGTGTCTTGCTGGCACCAGGGAGCCTCAGACCATCTTGGGGCTCATCAGTACCACCGACCAAGCTTGAGGACATCTCTCAAAGGGTGTGCTTGCTCTGAGTCTGTGAGCTCCCCTTAGGGAAGACAGGAGTAAGGGTTCTTTGAATACTTCCCCAACCAGCCACTGCAGTCTGGTCCTTCTACCACTCTCCCATGTCCCTGCCATTCTGGTCTTCTGAGCCCAGGAGTACGTGTGCCCGCTTATCTCCAGACGTATAGGTCATCTTCAGCCTTGTTTTTGCACTGGTCCCAGCATGCGAGCCCAATTCCTGAAGAGCACAGCCTGCAGGCCAGCCATTAAGGGGTGGTGCCTCTACCTGGGATGATTTCTTAATTCACCGGGCACTGCTGGGTCTTGGGTGGGGAGGCCCTTGCCTTCCTCTTTCTCCTGTAGATCTTCATACCTGGCTTCACTAGCACATGCCAGCCTGCAGTCTGTCTTCCTGTCACCCGCCAAGTATCCCTGCTCCCTGCACACCCACCAGCTCGCCATAGAAACTCCGTGTGTTTAGCCCAGAGACCCCCTGCCTCTATGGAAATTCTTGCTCAGGGCTGTTCATAGCTAGATCTCCATACACCATTGCTCACCCTCACCCCCAGCTGTAGTCCCTCAGCAGTTCCTGGACTGGCTTATCTAGGGATCATTGCTCCTGTGTGACCACAAGACCACTTGAAGCTCAGGGCACAGCAGGTGGCCAGTAGGAGGCCCTCTGAGTCAGGTGGTGCCCAGGAAGGTGGTAGGCAGAAGTCTAGAGCTCCTGGGACTGGACAAGAGAGGAGGGACTCAGCCAGGGTGAGGGGGACGGTTGGGCCAGTGGGAGAGCTGCTGTTTTCCAGGGGCTGCGGAAACCCACCGTGGAGGAGGTCCGACATGCCAAGAATGCTGTGTTCAGTCCGTCCATGTTTGGCAGTGGACTGCAGGAAGTCATGACAATGCAGAAGGAACGTTATCCTGAACGGCAGCTGCCCTGGGTGCAAACACGGCTCTCCGAGGAGGTGCTGGCACTCAACGGTGACCAGACGGAGGGCATCTTCAGGTGCCACACCTCGGCAGCTGGCCCTCCCTGCACGTGGGAGCAGTCAGAGAATCGTAGGAGATGGGCGTGTGGTGGTGAGGTCCCCCAGGAGTGCCCAGGACAGTCTATAGGAAGTGACCATCAAAGGTCCAGAGGGGGCATGGATTCCAATTACAGAGTAAGGATTGTGCATGAGTCATACATCTGCCTCCAGCTCTGCCCTGCTCCACCCAGAATCAGCATGAGCCCTGTCAGCTATGCCTTTGGGGTGGCTCGACCACCTGGCTTCCTGTCTGGACCAAGTGTCCAGCTTCCAGGAGAACGAAGGAAACTTAAGGAAGCAGGGTTGGGTCTCTGGAGAGGGCTCTCTGCCTCCAGCTCCTGGAAGGGTCATGGTCATTGCCACCCCCAGGGGCGCAGGCCCCAAGGAGAATGGGAACTACAGTACCCTTGTGGGAAGGAGGCCAAGCCAGGGGTAGCCTCATCTCACATTCCTGGTGTACACTGCCTGTGCTCTGCAGGGTGCCTGGGGACATTGATGAGGTCAATGCCCTGAAGCTTCAGGTGGACCAGTGGAAGGTGCCTACAGGCTTGGAAGACCCCCACGTCCCTGGTGAGGATGACCCAACTCCCTTCTGCAACCTGGGCCTGGCAGTGCAGAGGTGTTAAGATGGGGCCCCCAGTGCAGGCAGTTAGGTGATCACTACACATGTGCACACAGCACAGGACCTAGAGCCGCCTCGGAATCGTTTATTCATCTCCTGCACCATACCCATCCCTGCCACACACCCGCCCCAGAAGGGTCTGCCCCAAGCCCACCATGGTTGCTGGTGACCCCTTACCACATATGCCCCTTCTCACCTCACTCTTTGGGCCCGCCCCACTTCTTTGTTACTGCTCTGCTGAGGCCCCTCGCTGTGTCACCTGCAGCATCCCTGCTGAAGCTGTGGTACCGGGAGCTGGAGGAGCCTCTGATTCCACATGAGTTCTATGAGCGGTGCATCGCGCACTACGAGAGCCCCGAGGCTGCGGTGGCCGTGGTGCACGCGCTGCCTCGCATCAACCGCATGGTGCTGTGCTACCTCATCCGCTTTCTCCAGGTACTCAGCGCCCCGTGTTTGCACGCCCAGAGCTCTCCGCACACCCCGCCCTGCCCTTTACCCTCTTTCCTCTCCCCAGGTGTTCGTGCAGCCTGCCAACGTGGCCATCACCAAGATGGACGTGAGCAACCTGGCCATGGTGATGGCACCCAACTGCCTGCGCTGCCAGTCGGATGACCCTCGTGTTATCTTTGAGAATACACGCAAAGAGATGTCCTTTCTTCGCGTTCTTATCCAACACCTGGACACCAGCTTCATGGAGGGTGTGCTATAGCTGGCGGCATGGAGATGGATTGGGGGGGCAAGGGGTGGGAGGGACTTGCAGCCGAGGGTCGCATGCCTGGCCCCTCCATGCTGCCCACAGCAGCCCAGCCCGGCTCAGAGCAGAAGGGCGGCCCCAGCGCTCCCACGTGCGGAGCGGGTGTCATGCAGCTTCGGAAGAGAGAGCTCTGGATCCACGGCCCCCAACTCAAGGCCAGTTCCTGCTAGCGTGTTGTCCTCACCGCCACCCCAGGCCAGCCCAGCGGGCGGCAGTGTAGCCCTGAGAAAGTGCCTTCTGTGTCCCAGAGCCAAGCAACACTGCCCTTCGTGGCTGAGGGTGGACTGTGCGCCCATCCACTCCCTCTCACAGCTCTTCTGTCCCCGGCCGCCACCCCCGGACCAGTCCACCTGTTCCCTCTAGCATGGAGTCTGCACAGGGGGTTGGGGTTCCAGGGCACTGGCTGTCCACCCCCAACAGGGCCCAGCGGGTCGGGTCAGGCCAGGCTGAGCCTGGCAGGCACGCTGAGGTGGGAGGGGGGCGCCCAAACCAAAGTCCTGGGTGGGGGCGGGGCTGGGCAGGCATCTTGGCGCGGGGTGGGGGAGGGGGGAGAGTATTTTTTTTCTTCGTGAAACTAAATCCAGAGTCTGTCCTGCATCCCAGCCCCGCCCGTGTATAGAGATATAAATAGAGCGAAAGATAGAACTAAATTTGCTAATGACATAGTTTTAACCTAAATGCTATTTATGTCCAAGCCATCCTCTGTGCAGAGCTAGTTGGTATCATTCCTTATTTTCCTTCATCCTTGGTTTCTGACCAAACACCAACCTCACCCACCATCACCCCAACAGGCAGCGGCCGAGGCGGCGCTGCTGCAGGGCCCACCCTGACTCCCCATTTTTTATTTTGGAATTTTTCGTTCCAATTGTAAAAGTTAATTTCTCCCCAGTTTATATATATATGTGTGTGTGTGTATATATATTTTTAGAGTTGAGTTTTTATTTATTATTGAAAACAAAAAGCCCAGCCTGCCGAGGTCCGGCCGTCCCGAGGGCGGCGGTGGGGGTCAGACTCTTGAACCCCGCTCTGTGAATAAACTAAATATGGACACTGGCCAGCCGCGTTCCTTCTGTCGCGGGGGCTGGGGGCTTGGCGTGAGCCAGGCAGTCACACTTCCGGGGCGGGACATAGCTCTCGGAACCCGAAGTGCGAGGAGCAGGGGGCGGGGGGACATGTGTTCACGCGGCGCCTTCCCGTGACCAGAGGCCGTTTCCGGCAAGGGAGCAAGATGGGGCTTCTGTACGGGACGTTCCGGACACTGAGCTTGTCGATGTCATGCGGTGCCCGGCCCTGCAGCCGAAGCAGTGGCATCTCCTACACGCAGGGCCAGAGCCCCGAGCCCAGGACGCGCGAGTACTTCTACTTTGTGGACCACCAGGGCCAGGTGACCCGGGCAGGGGTCGCCTGGGCGGAGAAGGGGCTGGAGGAGGAGCTCCTGGGACAGAAGGCGGGGTCGGGGGAGAGCGAGATCGCTAGGCGAAGCACTGGCATTTCACAGAACAGCACCCTCAAGAGAGCAGGGCCACCTGTTGTCAGAACACACCCGACCGCCCCACCTCTCGTTCAGAAGGACGCCCCAGATTGTATACTTGTGTACATAGGCAAGAGATCCCTTCCCCACGGAATGCAGAACAGATATAAAGAACTCAGCCGGGCCACAGATTTACCTCCTGACAAGCCCGGTGCACCCAGATGCAGGCCCCGAGAGGCCACTTCTCACTTAGAGCTCATCCTAACCTTCCCCATCCTGCACCCTTGGGACTCATGAGCCTGTCCTGTCTGCAGCTTTTCCTAGACGATTCCAAAATGAAGAATTTCATCACCTGTTATAAAGGTACCGTTGCCCCTCCCTCTTTTCCCTTTTGGGACAGCCCGGGTGGGCACAGACGCGCGCGCGCACACACACACATACGCACGTGTTGTATAAAGGACTGGACGTTAGGAGCTCATCGGTCTCAAGTGAGGGCAGTCTAAAGAGGCTGCCTGATGAGGAAGCAGGACCTGGGTGCCCACCCCAGCGGTTGGCACCTGTGCCCTTCATTTCTCCTAGACCCGCAGTTCCTGGTCACTTTCTTCTCCTTCCTGCGACCCAACCGTAGTGGGCGCTACGAAGCCACATTCCCCTTCCTCTCGCTCTGCGGCAGGGAACGCAACTTTCTGCGCTGCGAGGACCGGCCCGTGGTCTTCACGCACTTGCTGGCCGCGGGGTCGGATCCTCCGCGCCTCTCTTACTGCGGCGGCGGCAAGGTTCTATCGGTGCCTTTCGAGCCAGAGCGCTTGCTGCCCTTGGCCGCCAACGGGCGCCTCTACCACCCGGCGCCTGAGCGCGCTGGCGGCGTGGGCCTGGTGCGCTCGGCACTGGCCTTCGAGCTCAGCACCTTCTTCGAGTACCCGCCTGGCGCTCCCGCACTGCCCTCGCACATACACTGGGGAGGCCGCCGCCTCGCGCTCACCATGGACTTAGCTCCACTGCTGCCCGCAACTCCTCGGGCTTGAGCGCACGCGCTGTCCGGATGCTCGCCGGGCTGAACGCGCGTGCGCGGCGGGTGCACCGAGGGGGGCTGGGGGTGGGGAAGCGCTCGGTACGGCGCTGTCCGAAGTGCTGCTGCGACCAGGCCGGCGTGCGGCTCTCTAGGACCTGGACTCAAGGGGCGACGGATGCTCCGCGACCCGCCTCGCACGCTCTCCTTTACCCCACGGCCTCAGGCGGTCTCTGGATGCCCTGCACTCCCTTCGGCAGCTCCAGCAGAAGGCACGGGCCCGCGCGGGGCGTGCGCGTGCTTGAGTGGGAGCCCCGCCCCACCTCCCTGGCCGCAGCTAGCCTGGGCTGGGGTCTTCGCGGGCTCGGCGGTGAAGCCGCACGCTGCCAGAGCATCAGGTGAGAGGGGCCCGACCCAAGGTTACCGGGCCATGTGGGCAGAATTAGGCACAGCTCTGGCTCTAACCCGAGTGCGTACTGAGGACGTGCTCCCTGGCATATGTTGGGGGGGGGGGCGCGGAAACCACGCCCTGGTCAAGTCTGAGCGGGTTGTGGGGGTAGCTGATGGGCAGTGGGAATCCCCAATGGTAGTCTAGGTGGGGCGCTGTGGCGAAGCGCAGGAGCCGCCCAGAAATTCCAGTGAAGCCTAAAGGAGCACCCAAGGGCAGGTGCAGCGCTTCCTTCCTCTCCCCACTCCCTGCCCGCACACAGAAGGGCGCCCCAGAGAAGACAGTGATAGCCACCAGGACCGTGCCTCCTGTCCAGACGGATTAGTGGGTCATCTGCTGGGTGAACGATTTCCAGGCTGGCCTCTCTCCTGCGCACTGGACCTTCACAGAGCTGCCCTCTGAGGTTCCTGTGAGCAGCAGCGCCCCAGGCCAAGCCGGCTCTCAGTCTCAGGCTGAGCCAGCTTTTGTGCTCAGGGAAATGGACGTCAGGGACTCCGAGGATACCCCATCTTCTGTCCTCCTGAGGCCCATACACACCCTGGGAACCCTTTGCTTGGGCCGAAGTGCCTCCATTAAAAAGTTTGTTGCTGTACTAAAGTTTTCACACTACATTTTTTTAAAATTTATTTTATTTTTATTATTTGTCTGTGTGTACCGTCAAATCAGATTTGACTGGTACAGGAGATTGTTCCTCCGTCTCCAGCAAAGCATCTGGTGGATTTGAACCGCTCACCTCTCAGATTGTAGTGCAGCTTCTTGCCACTAGGCCACCAGAGCTCGCTCACACTACATCTTTAATCACCGAGTTACGATTTTTTATTTTTAGTATATAGAGCATTGTAATACTAAGTTACAGTATAGCCCAATCACCTGCCCTTGGACACCTGCCCTCCTGAGCATAGCCTATAGGGACAATAAGAACCATCTGCCTTGCAGTCCCTGGCTCCAAAAGGGCTGGTATTTTCAGCTGATCTAAACCTTAAAATGAAGGAGCTAGAGGCAGATCTTCCATCTCTGTAGGGTCACCTGCACACCCATGCCAGAAGGTCACTGCCCACAGAATCAGTAGAGAAGCTGCACTGTAGTTGGTAGTCCAGGACCCCTCCTATCCCGGCTCTCCTGGTGTCCCTCCTACCCTCAAAGCCAGACAGCTTCCTGGCAGCCCCCAGGAATTATAGTTGTGGCCTCTAAACTGGCTTGCCTATTGTTCGCCTCATCCCTCCACCCTGAAAGTGTTCCCTGAAAAAAGGACAATTCTAGCTAAATTGCTTCACTTCTCACTACCTGGAGGGCATGAGCTGGACAGACCTCTGAACTCATCCTCTCCTGTGGCCTGCACTACTTCCCCTCCCCCCGTTTCAAGGTCTCAAGTCTTACAGGTGAACAAGTGAAGAGACCTGAGGTAGGGTCAGGTGGGGATAGGAATACTGATGGGAGTCTCAAGCTATGCTTTAAGGGCTCTGGACCTCACAAGATGGGGCTCCTGTCCATATAGGAGCTACCATCTCCCTGTGTATACTGGGAGATGGATAGAACACCGGTCCACACAGCCCAGCTGTCCTGCTGCACTGGTCTCTTTCTCATCCTAGGTTTGAGGAAAGACACGGTTGGCTGTTTGCCAGCTGGCAAGGGAGGCCAATGTGAAGAAGCCACAAGCAGGAAGGCATTCTGCTCAGGCAGGAGGCATGGGAGTAGGGTTCATACTACATGTAGGGACAAGAATGAGGAAACTACAACCATGAAACTCATGTTCCACAAACTTAAGGAGGTGTCTCTGTCCAAGAAGAATAGGACGTTTCATTTATTAAACTGACTTAAAAAGCTGACACAGGACACGGCCCCACCACCACGCTGGCCCTTGCACTAGCTCCCAAACGTGAGGGTCAGATTTGCTGTTTCAGGAGCGCCCCACCCCCCACCCCCGCAGCGGCTGGAGATGGCCTCTGGCGCGCTCGCCTTGCTGCTGCTGCTGCTGCCCGCTAGCCCACTCTCCGGCCTGCCGCCTCGAGCCGCGGCCTGCCCCGCCGCCTGCCGCTGCTACAGCGCGACTGTGGAGTGCGGCGCCCTGCGGCTGCATGCCGTCCCGCCCGGAATCCCGCCTGGCACACAGGTGGGCGCGCGGGGGTCGGCCAGGCACGGGCGGAGGGGGCTCAGGCGACCCCGCAGCAGGGTAAGCACCCGCTCCCATCCCGCAGACGCTGTTCCTGCAGGACAACAGCATCGTGAGCCTGGAGCCAGGCGCCCTAGCGCCGCTCTCTGCCCTGCGCCGCCTCTACCTACACAACAACAGCCTGCGCGCCCTGGAGCCGGGAGCCTTCCGCGCGCAGCAGCGACTACTCGAGCTGGCGCTCACTGGCAACCGGCTGCGCGGGTTACGCGGCAGCGCTTTCTCAGGCCTGGCCCAGCTGCGCGTGTTGTACCTGGCAGGCAACCAGCTGGCCCGACTGCTGGACTTCACCTTCCTACATATGCCGGTGAGTAACGTGGATAAGCGGCTCTTCTGCACTGCCGCCATGGCTGCTGGTGTTCTGTGCCGTCGAGTCGCTAGCGACAACAGCTCTGAACCCAGCTTTATTGAGTCAACCTCATCTTGTCTCCGACACACCCACCCTCATTACCAGTAGTGGAAAGGAAAACCACTTCTGACTGGCCTAGGCCCGGATCATAGTCTATGCGGCGGTCTACAGGGGTCAGGGACACAGACTTTCCTCTTTCCTGAAGGTCACCTCTTTCCTTCAGCGCCTGCAAGAGTTACACCTGCAAGAAAACAGTATTGAGCTGCTGGAGGATGAGGCCTTGGCTGGGCTGTCCTCGCTGGCCTTGCTAGATCTCAGCAGAAACCAGCTGGGGACCATCAGCCAAGCGACTCTGCAACCCCTGGCCAGCCTGCAGGTGCTGCGACTCACAGGTACCTCCTTCTACAGGCACAGGAGTCTTGGGCAGGGTCCTTTCTGGGCCAGGTGTTGTGGTCCCAGCTGTGAATCCTGGGCCACAAAGCCTTAAGCGGCTCGGGGGCTGGAACAGGGAAAAGAATGGTGGGAGCCCATCAGGCCAACTGAATAGAGCTCTGGGATTGCCTCCCTGGACTCTAGTGCTGGGCAAACCAGAACTGAAAACACAAGACGATGGCTTGCCTGGTTGTCACACTGGAGGGGAGGGGTAGGTGGACACTGGTATTTCCTGAAAGCAGGACATGGAGGGCATTCAGAGGAGCGCAGACTTTGAGGTTGTGGGAGGTGGGAGAGGAGCCGCAGAATTCACACCCAGGTCACCAAACCCCCAGCTGCACAAGATGTACCCTGCTATGTCCACAGACAACCCGTGGCGCTGTGATTGCGCCCTGCACTGGCTGGGCGTCTGGATCAAGGAGGGGGGTCAGCGGCTGCTCAGCTCCAGGGAGAAGAAGATTGTGTGTGCAGAGCCCCCGCGCCTAGCCCTCCAGAGCCTCCGGGACGTTTCGGGCAGCAGCCTCATCTGCATCCCGCCCTCCGTGCACGTGGAGCCGCTGGAGATCACAGCCAATCTGGGTGAGGACCTGAGGGTAGCCTGCCAGGCTTCCGGCTACCCACAACCCTTGATCACTTGGAGAAAGGTCAGCCAGCCCCGTGAGGGACGGCAGGAGGCTCAGACCCACACGGACGGCGGGCGGCCGAGCCTGGGCGGCCACGGAGCCCCCGACACAGGCAGCGGCATGCTCTTCCTCACGAACATCACTTTGGCACACGCGGGCAAGTACGAGTGCGAGGCGTCCAACGCCGGCGGCGCCGCCCGCGTGCCCTTCCAGCTCCTGGTCAACCTGTCCCAGCAGCAGCGCCTGCCGCCGCCCCTTCCACCCCCCGCCGCTGGCCCGGTCAGCCACGAGCCCCTGTACGAGGCGGGCAGCATGGCTTTCCGCGCCCTGGGCCTGGCCACGCAGACGGCCATCGCGGCGGGCATCGCGCTGCTGGCGCTCACGGCGCTGCTGCTGGCGGCCATGATCTGCCGCAAACGGCGCAAGCGGAAAAAGGCGGCGGGGCCGCCGGGGGAGGGCGTGCTCTTCGTCAACGACTACTCGGACGGGCCCTGCACCTTCGCCCAGCTCGAGGAGCTCCGCGACGAGCGGGGCCACGAGATGTTCGTCATCGACCGCTCCAAGCCCCTGTTCCCCGAGGCCCCGGCGTCCGAGGCGCTCCCGGACCGCGCCCCCGCGGAGGGCGCCGCGCCTGCGCAGCCCCAGGGCCTCTTGTTTCCGCCGCCGGTCGCCTACGAGATTCACTGCTGAGGGGCGGGCGGGCGCGGACTGATGACGTAGCGGTGCGCCGCCGGCGATTGGCCGGCGCCCTCACGCATGCTCCGACGTGCGGGCCAGTAAAGGTGAAGCTGCGCAGCGTGCGCCGAGCCGTGTGTGAGGGGCGGGGCGGGGGGAGGAGGCCGCCGGGGGAGGGGGCCCATCTGACCGCCCCACCCCCAACCCAGGGCGCGGTGTATTACGAAGACTGTAGGATCTTCGAAGTTGGGAGCGCTCCAGGAGTTCCCAACACCCGCAATCTCCCAGCACCATATTCTGCAACGGCCCAACTGTGGCCACTGCCCATGCTGTCCAGCTTTGGGACCACCCTGTGGGACCGAGGAAGACAAGTTGGGAAGGAAGTAGTTCAGGGTTTTTTGAGTACTGAGGGAGGGGGCAGAGGCTGGGTCGCATGCGCACTTATCTAATCAGACAGAATAGCTGAGAATCCAAACATGTTTGCACTTTGTTAACATCCCCCACCCTAGAGGCCAGCTGAAGTGTCCAAATACAAAGGTGTCTCCTTGGTGTCAGGGTGGAAAAAACAGAAAAGACTTGACGCTGGAGTAGGCACCTCCTCCAGCTCACCCCTTGGGTACTGGCTCCTGGGAGGTTGTAGAAAAAGATAAAGCTTGGGAGATTGACAGCAAGATGGCTGCAAGCCTTGGGGTCACAGTGGGCAGTGTCCACCATGGCGGGTGTGTGTGTGGGTGTGAGAGATAGCAAGAGCAGTACTACAGGTGTGGAAAGGGCATGGTGGGAGGGTGTGGTGTGTGAGGGTCATAGCAAGAGAACTACTACAAGTGTGGAAAGGGCACAAAGGCCTGCAAAAAAGAAAAGCAGGAGCTTCAGGAAGCCTGAGACAAGCCCCTTTCCTGGGTCAAGAACCCAGCAGGTCTGGGCAGTGGTTCTGCCTACCCTTAACTCACTCGGTGTCACCTCTACCCTAGCCACTAATCACAGGCTAAAGTAGTCTGGCCAGGCACCCACAGATGTCTGTGGTCCAGAGCATGTGGGCACGGCCTGAGGCTATAAGCAGCTGGTGCAATTCTACCTCCTGTAGGATGGGGACAAGTGATTGCCAGGGCAAGCCCTCAGGGTAGTGCCCTAGGAAGGGGTGCACTACTGTGTGAAGCTCAATCTGGGCTGCTGAGCTCCAAAGCAGCTCTCTAAGTCAGAGGGTTGGTCAGTGGACATGGGACTGCCAGAGAGACCAAGGTAATGGGAGGCTAGTGCAGAGTGTGGGTGAACACAGTGGCCAGCAGACAGGTGTCAGCCTGCTGGTACTCAGTCACCTCCAGGTGCAGCAGTGTGGTGGAAGCTGAATGCAGGAGGCCCTGGAATGGCTCTAGGTGGCTTCCAAACAGATCATAGCCGCTCAGTTCTAGCTTCTTGAGGTGGGCAGCAAGACAGCTTCAAGCCAGGATCGGCAGGTCCTCAGGCAGCAGGGCCAATTCCAGGTTCTCCAGGGGGATCTGCAAGGTGCTGCCAGGGACACAAAGGAAGGGGTTACGTCCTGGTGGAGGAGGGATCCAGGCAACACAGGGTCCCGTCGGGGTGGGGAAGGGCCAGCTCACCTGAGTAGCTGATCCAACCACCCTGAGAGCAGAGAGGAACGCACGCTGAGTTCCCACAGGCAGGTGAAGCATCCGTCTGGGTCAAGAAGTATCAGACGCTGTCCTCGCTGTCCACAGAGGGCTGCCTGGAGTCCCTGTGCACAGAGTGCAGACAGAGGCTGGCCAGGCGCTGGTGGGCTGATTACCAGCAGGCACAGACTGTTGAAATGCAGGTCCATGAGAGGTGGCCAGGAGCTGTAGCAGTACTACATTGTTTTGTTTAGCCTGGGCAGCACTCACCTTCCAGGACAGGTGTTAGGCCAGGCTCCACAGAGCCACCTTGCAGCTGAGTGATGCAGGTACTAAGAGATGAAGGGGCAAGCCCCTGGTGCTGTGCAGTCCCACGGAGTAGGGGTCTTGCTCCATGCCATTGTCTAGGAGGCCCATCATATCCATGTAGTAAATGTGTGCTTCCTTGGGGGGAGATGAGGTGGGTATGTGGGCACAGGTGTCTACCCCAGCCAACAGTCCAGTTTGAAATACATGCTTGCTTCTGCACCAATCTCTTACTAGTCTCAGAACCTCACGGAATATCCTGAGAGGGCCCCCACTGCCTAATTTGCCCCACACAGGCTAGTACCTTCAGAGGGTCTGAGTGTGGCACCACTGCAGTGGGCACACTCTTGCAGCAGTTACTGGAAGCTGAGCAGCAGGAAGGACAATCGTCCATGAAGACTACTCTGAACAGCAGTGGGAAGCACTCTCCTGGGAGCAAGGGCCTGGCAGGGAGCTGGCTGGCACTGCAGCAGGTGCCTCGTGCTCAGGAACACCAGTGTGTGCACTGCGCCAGGCAGGCAGCCACCTACAGGAAAAGGCTTTTCAAAGAGGAAGGCAGGACCAAGCCACCGCCTCCCTGGAGCACGAGGCACATAAGTAGTACAAGTAACAACCTGATTGCTAGTGTCCCTTTTCAGTAGATGAGTGCTGCTACCCAGGGCCCCACATCTGGACCTCTAGTGGCTCCTCAATCTGTCATCTCTATTTTTTTTTACCCCCTCAAAGTTGGAATAAAGCCCTTAACATAGAAATGCAAGTTTCTTTAGTGCTGGAAAGGGCAGACACACAGCTTAATAAGACAGACTGAGCTGCCACAATGAAACCTGTAAAACCCAAGCTCTCAACGTCAGCTCAGCCACAACCAGAGTCATCTGGGGTGTTGGCAGGCATAGAACTGCTCCCTGGTGACCTATGGCATGGCAGAGCCACACACCATCACTGCCCCACCTCACTCTACCACTGCTTCAAGAGTCACAGAATCTTTTCCACATTTCCATTTTCCCTAGGGAGCCAAAGTTGAGACTTAAGTCTGGGCAAAGGGGGCCAAAGAGAAGAATGAAGAACTCAGAACTCAAATGCTGATGGCCTCGCAAACAGCCTTGCTTGCCTGGCTAAGCTAGGAGGTGGCTCGTAAACCAGAGTGGAATATCCCTCCCTAGAAGGTTTATAAAAATCCTCCCCAGTAAGTTCACAATTGACTTCCCATTCTGCCTCTCCAGGATGAGGAACTCCCCCGGGAGCTCCCCTTCTCCCCCTTTAATAAAGCTGCATTAAGCTTTCTCCCGTTCTCTCTGATTTCGAGTCCACTAACCTAGCATGGTGCTGTGAAACCCGGGAGATGACTTAAGGTGCTGCGCCCCCACCTTAGGGCAAGTGCTGGCGCCCCTTACTCTTACGTGAACCAGTCTATACAGTGTCAAAATGCTTGAACGGGTAAGTTCTGCTGCTCTCCCTCTCCCCTGCACTCTGCAGCTACTAACCAGATCTCTGCCCCTTTTGTCTTTCTGATCTCTATTCTCCTTCCGGAGGCTCCTAAAGCGAGACCCAATTGATTTCCAGGTATATTAAGCCTTTATTCTTCCATTCCAAAGCTTTTAAGCTTTCCAGTCCAGACATTGTGAACTCCCATGAGAACCCAGATCTGTTCCACTGGCCTTCCGTCCCACATACCCACAAAAAAACACAGATCTGTGTGGAAAGGCCAGCCAGAAATTCTTCCAGGCTATGATGACTCTGAGAACGCTCAAGCTGTCTATAGCCTCTCTCCACTCGTAAGAGTTCCTGAGACTCCCGGTTTCCAAAGGATGCTCTGGGACTCCGGTTTCCTCACCCACAGATGAAGCCAATGGCTGGACTGGAAAGCTTAAAACTTTGGAACGGAGGAATAAAGGCTTACTATGCCTGGAAATCAATTGGGTCTAGCTATTTAAGAGCCTCCAGGAGAGGGAGAATACAGAGATCAGAAAGACAAAAGGGGCAGAGATCGGGTTAGTAGCTGCAGAGTGCAGGGGAGAGGGAGAGCAGCAGAACTTTTACCATTCAAGCATCTTGACACTGCAGACTGGTTCAGGTAAGAGTAAGGGGCGCCAGCACCTTAACTCATCTCCCAGGTTTCGCAGCACCATGCTAGGTTAGTAGACTTAATAAAGAAATCAGAGAAAGCTTAATGAAGCTTTATTAAAGCGGCAGAAGGGGAGCTCCCGGGTGAGTTCCTCATCCTGGAAAGGCAGAATGGGAAGTCACTGTGAACTTATTGGGAAGGATTTTTATAAACAGTCTTTAGGGAGGGACATTCCATTCTGATTTACGAGCCACCTGCTAGCTCAGCCAGACAAGCAAGGCTGTTTGCTCTTCTTAGCAGCAGCAGACAAGGAGTTCTGAATTCATTCTTCTCTTTGGCCTCTTTTGCCCAGACTTAACAGAGACCAACCCTCTGACCCGAGGGGTTGGAAAGGTTTCAGGTGGATGTTACACAAACGGCACAGGAAACTGTTGTGGCACCCGAAAAGTGGATTCACCCTGCACCAGATACCTCGTACTCAGAAGTGCACGGAAAGCAAAATCTTTGTTCTTGGGCAGCTGATCCGAAGCGAAGCCTTGCCCATGGCCACAAAGCTGAGGGCCAAGCCTGGGGAGGGGGCTGGGTGACACCCGGACACCACCGCCATCCCATCTTCTACAGACGTAAGCGCAGCCAGGCCTTGTTCGCCGTAAACCCCAGACGCAGCCCTCGACCTGTGCATAAATGTCACAGAAAAACTGTGTCACTCTGACAAAACCAACCACTTGTCACCAATGGCAACAGCCAGGCTGGCCACCGTGGGTGGAGCCTCCTACGCTGCGCAACGGCCCCCACTGGCCCCTCTTAGGACTGTGGCTCCCGAGATCCCACGCCTACCCCGCCAGCCGCTCCAGGTTTCGAGCTCGGGGTATGGGGACCGTGGCCTGCGATCCACGCCGTCCCCGCCAGCTGCTCCAGGTTTCGGGGTTGGGGTCTGTGGCACCGACTCCCCTCTGCTGGGTTCAGTCCGCCCGCCGGGATTGAGCTGCTCGGTGAACGGGGTCTCCAGCCCCCGGCCCGCCCCGACAAGCGATGTGCCCCCTGCCTCTCCCCTCCGCCCGAGCTCCGGGGCCGCCGAGCCACGTCCAGCCCAGCGCTGCGGCCGCCGTGACGCAGGCGCCTCTCATTGGCAGCCCCGATGGGGCCCGCCGATTGGCTGAGGGCTGCACCGCGCGTTGCCATTGGCCGGCTGGCGGCGGGAGTTTGGGGCTTGAGAACAGCATGGAGCGGCTGCGGGACGTGCGGGCGCGGCTGCTGGCGTGGGAGCGCGCGTTCCTGCGACAGCGCGGGCGGCGGCCCGGCCAGGTGCGAGCTGCCGGGCGGGCGTGGGCGAGGAGGCCAGGCAGTGAGGCCGCGGCCCGCGGCTGATGCGTTCACCCCACAGGCGGACGTGGCGGCCGCGCCCGAGGAAACCCGAGGTGAACGGGGCGGGCGGGCTGGAAGCAGCGGGCAGTGCGGCGGGCGGGCTGGCCGGCTGGGGCTGCGGGCAGGCCAGAGCTTGATGCCTTTTGCACCCACGCAGCGCTCTACCGGGAGTACCGCTCTCTGAAACGAGGCCTGGACCAGGCAGGCGGCGTCCAGCCCTGCAGCCCTGAGCAGTCTGCTCTGGAGGCCAACTTGGAGGTACCTGTCGTCGGTCAAGCCTCCCACCCGTGGGCGGGGTACAGGTAGGGGTCCTTGCTTTGCGTCCCTTCCAGCCTCTTCCCTGTCCCCCGATCTTCATCCCGTTCTGTAGGCACCAGAGACCGGCTGCTGGGGACCTCACCTTAATCGGGCTTCCACTCGGACCTCACAGCTGACCTCGGCACCCAGCCCCCGAGGGACTGTGCACGACTACGGGAAGCGCCTCAAGGCCAATCTGAGCGGCGCCCTGCAGGTGAGGTCCAGGCAGGGCTCGAACAGAGGCACATCTGCACTGTGGCACTTCACCGGGGCCCCAGAGCAGCCTTCAGAGTGCCTGGTGTCGTCTTCTCAGACCGAACCAGCCCCACGAACACCCACATCAGAGGCACTTGCCCAAGGACCATCAGATACAGGTGCTGCCCTTACCTCACGGAAACTCAGCCAGACACCTTCCCCGCACGCGAGGCCTCTGGTGCAGCAGCACCGGCTCCAGCAGCTGCGGGCTTCTCTGAGCCTGCGTCTCGCCTCCCTGGACCCTGCCTGGCTGCAGCAGTGTCAGGATGGGGCCTCTGACTTGCAGAGGGCCCCGGAGTGCTCTGGAGGGCCTGACCAGAGGTGGCAGCCTCAGACCCCAGGTGCCTGTCATGGCCCCAGGATCTCAACGCTGCAGGAAGCCAGCCACAGTGAAGGATTCCCTCAGCTTAGCAAGAATCAGAGACAAAACAGGGACCCCACAGCAGCCGCTTCACAAGGCCACAGCTGTCACATGGGACTCCCACCAGATGAACCTCCGCCGAGGGAGCCTGTGGGGAAGCAGCCTCCTCGGCCCCCCAGGAGCCCGGAGGTACGCAAGTCCCCACCCAGGCAGGTTGCCTCCAAGCTGAACCCATTGGGCAACTACATCAGGCTCAACCTGAAGCAGAAACGGTACACTCGGGGCCCAACCCTGAGGGGCATTCGTCTCCGTAAACAGGTGAGGCAGATGAGGTGCCCATTCCTCTCCCTGTCTGTGTCCTCGTGATCTGTTTCTCTCCCTTTCCTGTGTCCCCTGATCTGTTTTTGTGGCCCAGGTGTGGAAGCAGAAATGGCAGAAGAAAAGGGACTGTTTTGGGGGTGGTAGGTGTAGAACAACAATCAAGAACTCATGCTTTCGCTGCGGGCAGCTTGGCCACTGGGTCTCCCAGTGCCCCCAGCCAGGTGAGTCTCTGGGCATGGGGGCATGGAGGGATACTGTGTTACGAAGACAGAAGGGCATCTGGCCCAAGCAAGAGGTTCTAGGTGTCCTCTACCCTGGCCCAGAGCCTGCCCCAGCCCAGGAGGCGGCTGGCAGAGACAAGGAAGGTGTACAGCTATCACCCACACTGGAGGTCACCCAGATAACAGGTGCCCCCGGCCAACTCCCTGGTGAGTAGAAGCAGAGGGCAGTGGCTACCTCAACCTGATGACTCTAGCCTGGCCAGAGCCCCAAGTCCCTTCCTGGGCTGTCTGCCCCAGCAGGTGAGGGGAGCACTGGACCTGCACCTGCCAAGTGCCAGCAGCTGGGAGCCTTGAAACCCTGCCTACTCTCCACAGTACCCCCACTCTACCCACTAGGACCTTCAGGGCAGGTGGCAGGTGAGTAGGGACCTTAGCCAGAGCTTTCAGTGGGATGATAGTCAAAGCACTAGGGTGACGGGGCCTTATGTGCCCTTAGAGACTCCTCCTGAGGTGTTCCAGGCCCTGGCACAATTGGGACACCAAGCCTTCCGCCCAGGGCAGGAGCAGGCCATTATGCGCATCCTGTCGGGTAAGTCAGGGCAGGGTTGCACAGTCATGAGGATGGTGGGTAGTACCTCCTGCTGACCCCTGGTCCCTCTAGGTATCTCCACTCTCTTGGTGCTGCCCACGGGTGCTGGCAAGTCCCTATGCTATCAGCTGCCAGCCATGCTGTATGCCCAGCGAGGGCCCTGCCTCACAGTGGTCATCTCCCCACTCCTGGCACTTATGGACGACCAGGTAGTTGAAGGCTGCTGTGGCCCCTTTCCAGTTCTGTTCTCAGCCCAGTGGCCTGAATGGACATAGTGTCCAGCTTTCCCCATGGAGTTTCTGACAGATGGGCTTTTGCCTGCAGGTGTCCAGCCTGCCTCCAGGTCTGAAGGCCGCCTGCCTCCACTCAGGCATGACCAGGAACCACCAAGAGAGGGTCCTGCAGAAGGTGAGGGGATTCATCTCAGAGATGGGAGAGTGGACAGGGCTGGGCCCCTGGCCTCTGATGCCTTTCTGCTCCTGGTCCCACTTTTCCAGGTACAGGCAGCACAGGTGCATGTGCTCATGCTGTCACCAGAGACACTGGTGGGGACCAGGGTGGGGGGCCCTGCCTGCCTGCCCCTTGCCACAAAGCTACCACCTGTGGCTTTCGCCTGCATCGACGAAGCTCACTGTCTATCCCAGTGGTCTCACAACTTCCGGCCCAGTTATCTGCGAGTCTGCAAGGTGAGGCCAACTGCCAGGGTAAGCAAGCGGAAACTCCTAGCCTAGGGAGGAGGCGAAACCCTCACCTTCAGCTCTTCAGGTGCTCCGAGATCACATGGCTGTGCGCTGCTTCCTGGGCCTCACTGCCACCGCCCCACGAAGCACTGCCCTTGATGTGGCCCAGCACCTAGGCGTGCCCGAGGGGTCAGTTTCCATCGGGCTCCCTGCCACCATCCCGGACAACCTTCACCTCTCTGTGTCCACAGACAGGCACCCTGAGCAGGTAAGCTTGTGCACATTGGGAGCCCTCAGAACCTACGCCCAACCCCCAGTGACTTTCCTTCTCCCCAGGCCCTGGTGACACTGCTGCAGGGGGACAGGTTTCACACATTAGCTTCAGTCATCATATACTGCAACCGGCGAGAAGACACTGAACGGGTGGCCGCCCTCCTCCGTACCTGCCTTCCCCAGCCCGCGAGCCCCAGAGGTGAACATCAGATGGGCCCCTGGGTGGGCCCTGACCCACCTAACCCACCAATCCACCCACCACCACCCTATTTGCCTGCCTCTCCAGGTGGTGCCCCTGAGGCTGTGGCTGAGGCCTATCACGCAGGCATGTGCAGCCGAGAGCGGAAGAGGGTGCAGCGAGCCTTCATGGAGGGACGACTGCGCATAGTGGTGGCCACGGTGGCGTTTGGGATGGGGCTGGATCGGCCGGATGTGCAGGCTGTACTACACCTAGGGCTACCTCAGAGCATAGAGACCTACGTGCAGGCCGTGGGCCGGGCAGGACGCGATGGGCAGCCAGCCCACTGTCACCTCTTCTTGCAGCCACAGGTTGTTTCCAGCATGCTTTAGCGGGCCTCCACTTTCAGCTCGGGCCACGCCCACCAGCCCCAGGCTGCACCCTTACCCCCCGCTGCTCTTCCCTCACTGGCTCTGCAGGGTGAAGACCTTCAGGAGCTGCGCAAACATGTGCACGCTGATGCAGTGGATTTCCTCGCGGTAAAGCGGCTGGTGCAGCGAGTCTTCCCACCCTGCTCTTGCCCCAAGCCATCCCCAGACGGTGGTGAACAGGCTGCAGTCCCTGCAGAGCCTGGGCAACAGAACACCCAGGACACTGCCCCTCAGCCAAGGAAAGAATGCCCAGGCCACACACGGGCACTGCCCATACGGTCTACGGAGCAAGCCCTGGACATGCCTCAGGAAGGTGAGGGTCTGGCCTGGTGGGGCGTCCCCACAGCCCTGTGTCCCCTGACCCTGCTCTACCATCAGCTATTGAAACCCTGCTGTGCTACCTGGAGCTTGAAGAACAGGGCTGGCTGGAGCTGCTGACCCCCGTCTATGCCTCCTGCTCCCTGCACTGTCCTGGGGGCCCTACTCAACTGGACACCCTGGCCCTCAGGTGAGCACACTCCACTTGAACTGTCCCGGGGGGCGGGGGGGTCCTACTCAGGTGGGCACCCTAGCTCCCAGGTGAGCCCACTGGTACCTAGGAGGAGTGGTGGCCTGGGTCTATATACGGTCTCACATCCTGCTCACCCTAATAGGTGTCCCCCTGTGGCCACATGCCGGGCGCGACAGCTGGGCAAAGACTCCGGGAGCAATGGCTATATGGAGTTTGACATGGTGGAGCTGGCGGACTTCATGGGCTGGGAGCTAGGCTCTGTGCAGAGAGCCCTGCAACAGCTGCAGTGGGACCAGGGGCTTGAGGCAGGAGAGCCTCGGGAAACAGGTGTGCTTGTAGAGTTTGGGGAGCTTGCTTTCCACTGGCGATGCCTCAGGGACCTGAGCATCGAGGAGAAAGACCAGGTCTGCCAGTTCCTTCAAGGCCGTGTCAGGGCTCGAGAGAGAGAGGCAGGCCCTGGCCCGCCTCCGCCACACTTTCCAGACCTTTCTCAGGTGTGTGAGGGTGGCAGGGCCTGCCTACCCCAAGCGTGGACCTCGACGGAGGTGCACTGACCACTGACTTCCCTCCCAGTGTGGCCTTTCCCAGCTGTGGGCCCTGCCTAGAGCGAGCTGATAAGGCACGCAGCGCCCAGCTCAAAACCCTGATCAGCAGCTACTTTGAAGAGGAGCCACGGCCAGGGCCAGAGGGCGAAGAGGATGAGGGCCCGGAGCCAGGACAGGCCAGGGTGAGTGCTCCTCTTGGCTGGCTGGGAGCAGGGATCACACCCTCACACATCACCCCTTAGTAGTCTCCCCCAGAGGTAGCTGAGACACTGATTTCCGCAGACATGTGGTGTCCACATGCTAAGTGTAGGAAATACCCCTACCCCAGCTCCAGGACTGGGAGGACCAGATCCGCCAGGATGTCCGCCAGCTCCTGTCCGTACGACCAGAGGAGAAGTTCTCAGCCAGGGCTGTGGCCCGTATCTTCCACGGCATTGGTGAGGGGCTAACCTGGCATGGTGGAGGTGAGGCTGTACCAGCTAGAGCACTTAATGCCCCTCTGCCCTCCCTCTGGCGGCAGGAAGCCCCTGTTACCCAGCCCAGGTGTATGGGCAGGACCGGCGCTTCTGGAGGAAATACCTGCACGTGAACTTCCACTCCCTAATGCGCCTGGCCAGAGAGGAGCTGCTGCTCTGGGGCCACTGACTCCCTCGACGGTGGCAGTGAGGTGGGCAGAGCCAGCCAACGACGGCATGGGAGCAAGGAGGTCTTAGACACACAATAAAAGGAATTCAAATAACATGACAAGGCTGCTGCACTCAGCTTTACTGGCTATTGGGTCAGGGAGCTGGGAGCCAGTCCCAGGTAAGATGTGGACATGGCTGAGAGTGCCAGGAAGAGGGAGAAGGAAAGCTGTAGCCCCAGGTTGTCAGCCAGCACGCCAGCCAGTGTGCCCAACATCAGCTTCCCGAGCAGCTCCAGGGTGGCCAGGAGACTGTAGTGTGTAGCCTGGAGTGGGGAGGAGAGAGGTAGGGTCAGTGTCTGGAGCACCAGCCTGTGGCTCGGCATTGCCACGCTCTTTACCTGCAAGGCGCTGGGTGCAAGTCGGCTGCATCGCATCATGAGAGTGAAGGTGGCTGTAGTGATCAGGCCTCCCAGGAACTGCTGCAGGCACAGGCTTAGCAAGGCGAGTCCTGTGAGAGAGGGTGAGGTAAAGTCAGGGGGGGTTCAGGGTTCCTGGCATCCCCCCCAAAGGCTGGCCCTCACCTTTCAGGACTGGGCCAGGGTCCATCCCAGTCCCCAGGGCATCAAGGTGGAAGAGCAGGGCAGTCTGGAAGGCCAGACCCCCCAGGCGGACCTGCAACATGGGCCTCAGTAGGGGTAGTGGATGCCTGGGGAAAAGAAGGAGGTTTGGCAGGTCTGGGTAGGAGCAGTAAGTGGGGGGGGGGGGGGGGGGGGGGGGGGTTGATGGAGGAGTTGGCAGGTGGTCAGTCTGGCTAGTCAGTCAGGTGCGGGGGCCAAGAGCAGAGGGTTGTATATTTGAGGGGTTTAGGGCAGGTTGCAGGTGGGGATTAAGTTGGTTTGCGTGTGGAGTAGGGGCTGGGCAGCTCACCGGCATCTGGCCAGCAGGGCCCCACCCAGTGAGGAGCCAGCAACGGAGCAGGCCATGGCCCCCACACCATTCCACAGTCCCAGCTCTGCAGCAGAAGCACCGTGGTCCAGCAGGAAGAGCGGGAAAAGACTGACAGCGCCCTGCTCACCTGGAGGGAGAGGGTGATGGGGTGCCTTCAGGGCTGCTCTTCTTGACCTCATTGCCCAGCCACAACGGACACATAAGCCTGCAGAAAACAAGGCTGCGAGCCCAGGGTCAGCACAGAACTGTCCCGTGTAATGGAAAAAAGTGGCCCTGCTGCAGAACCCTGGGCCTCCGAACAGAGCATCTAAGTGGGGTCCAGCGTAGGATTCCAGCCAGAGGGATCCCAAGCCTACTCACCCAGCTTGTAGATGAGCACGAAGCCAGCTGTCCACAGAGTTCCAGGCACGGCCAGCATGGCCGGCAGGTGGTGCTGAGGGCACTGGGGCGGCTCCGAAGGCTGGGCTGCGGGTTGCTGACGCAAGGCTGCTGAAGTCCAGGCTATGGCAGCAGCCAGGGAATAGACTGCAGCCAGGAGGATGAAGAGCACAGCCCAGGAGAGGGTGGGCACCAGGACCAACAGCCCACCTCCCGCCAGTGCCGCCCCCAGTTTGTAGGCCACTACCTGCACCGTGTTGCCAGGCCCCAGCTCAGTCGGCTCCAGGAGCTGCACGGCGAGGGTGTCCAGCGCCACGTCCTGCACAGCCGCTCCCAGGTTCAGCAGCAGGAGCAGCGCTGCCGCTGTGGTGTGCAGCCCACCCTGACCAGCCTCCCTAGGAGGCAGCCCCGCCAGCAGCCCACACACCACGCCCAGAGCAGCTGTGCTGACCACCAGCCATGTCCGCAGGGACCCTCTCCTGTCCACGAGCGGGGCCCACACCAGCTTGAACAGCCACGGGACATGCAGCCCTTTGGTAAAGGCGACCCGCGTCATCGAGAGGCCACGGGCCCTCAGCAGCATGGGCAGCAGGCCAGACTGTAGCCCGTAGGGCAGGCCCTGCACGAGGTAGAGGCCAGCCAGCAGCA